CTATTTATAGTACAAGCCCACTTATTCTTATCTACAATAATAGGCCCATTATTCCTGATTTGCTAAATGGCCCAGAACTTCACTTATACACTATTACACTCTTATACTCTTCTTATTAGTATTATTGTCCGCATTCCTATCAGAGTTTGAACTTTATTTTGATTGACTCGTGACAATGAAAATAGAAGAGGATATTATAGTGCTAAGAATTGCTGCTGGGCAAGAACAATGATATTTAAAAAAACTCAAATATCAAGGAATTTGTGAAAATACAAAATGTTATAATATCAAGAAGGGTCCAGTAAAATAACGTAAACGTAATCTTCTTTAACTGATTATTCAAATGTCAACAGCTTATTTTCTTTTTTCAATCTCCCATTCGATTGATCTTAACAATTTTTCTTTCACATAATCTTAATCCTCCAGTCTTCCGTACATGTATATGCATTTAAAACGTGTCCTTTAGTTTTCATGATATATCCTACACACATTTCCAGGATCCTAAGTTTTGGGAATACAGACCACTCTCTGAATTGATGGTCCGTGCTGCTGCAGATGATGTTCGCTATCTTCTTAGCATACATGATAAGATGATCAAAAAGTTGAAGGAAAGGTCTTTATGGCTCCTTTCCCTGCGTGGTGCACTTTATTGCCGTTGTTTCTGCATAACTGATAATGACTATGCAGATTGGCCTCCTCTTCCATTGCCCCCAGGTATCCTTCCAATCACATGATAAAAGAAGTAAAAAAAGAGATAAAAAGTTGTTTTGTTGTGTGATAGAAGTTCTTCCCTAATACCATGGTCCACCGAGTATTTTTTTAAATGAAAGAACAGAAAGTGATGTGAAGAATGGGTGAAAGTCATATCTATTTGCAGAAAATCTTATTGCTGATGGGTCGGAAGAATGCTTGTCTGTTCTTGATGTCCCTCCGGGTCAAATGGGACGTATCATTGGACGAAAAGGAGCTTCTATTCTCGCTATAAAGGAATCATGCAAGTATGTAATAATGAGTTCACATTACATAATAATAGTAATAATGATTAATTGTTTTTCATTAAGATATATCTTTTGCATATTATAGAGTAGATTTTCGAAGGTCTCACTTTTATCCCATCTTATACGACACATTTTATTGTTCATTGGTCATACCAACTCTTATTATGTTCATGTTTTATTTTAGCAAACAACAACAACATCCAAACCTTAATCCCAAAAGAATTTGGGGTCAGTTACCATGAATCGATCCATGATATCACTGTAAAAAAGAAAAGAAAGATAAAGAAAAAAAAGATAAGATACAATGGGTAAGATAATTTTATTTTAGCAAACACTTGATGTAATTTCCAAATATATGAATTTCATTGATTGATACCAGTCTAAAAATGACAAAGAATATACGTTATCAAAAATTCAGTTACAGTGGTTACTGGTTATTGATTAAGGTTATCTAAATTGAGATAGAGAGTGGGTGTGTGTAATCTTGTTGCGCACACAATCAATCCCACTCATAGACTAATGAGAGTGTGTAATCTTGTTGCCTTGACTACTGTTGTGCATTCACGTGCAGTGCCGAAATACACATGGGAGGTGATAGGGGTCCTCCTGACAAGGTTAGTGATGTTTGTGCCATTTTATTAACTTTGTAATAATTCAGGATGAGAAGATTTGCAACTCCACAATGCGATGATACCTTCCCTCTTGCAACAAATTGGGTAAGGGAGAAAAATTATGTGTTCAGTTGGTGTTGCAGGTTTTCATCATTGGACCAGTGAGACAAGTGAAGAAAGCAGAAGCCATTCTTAGGGGAAGGCTATTAGGTCCCAACTGAACTTTTCATGTTCTAGATAGACAGCGCCCCTCCCTCGCTCCCTCACTCCCTACATACAACAACATCCAAGCCTTAACCCAAAAGCGTTTGGGGTCGGCTCCTCCCCTACATAAATAATATTAGTATACTAATAATCATAATAACAATTATTTAGAGAGCACTCTTTGGCCATCTCACAATTTCCAACCCCTAGATGTTGGCAAATTATTACCCGCACAAGTCACATCTAAATTGCACGGACACATGGGAAGCATTGGGAAACGGGAAATGTGAAACCCAATCTTTTAATAGAAAAACAAGTATCTCAGGAGTTTACTAAACAAAATGTATTCTTTCCCAAGATTTTTTGTGCTTATAGGAGTTGCTAGGGGGTAGGGTTTCTTTAATAGGGTAGGCTAGAGTGCCGACGTCTTTTTGAAATTATGTACTTCGTTGTTTTTTTTGGTGAATGTTTGGCACAAAAATAAAGCAGATTAAATTGGGTTCTCAGATGCCTAAAATTTCTCTGATTAATGAATGTTGTCTGACACAAAAGACCTTAATACCCCCCCCCCCCCCCCCCCTCAAGTAGTCTAACCTCTTCTCTTAAACAATGGGATTTGTTCTCAAAACCCTACATCAATCTCCAGCCTCAATTTCATATTTTTTTTATCTTGTCATTTTGAAATTGTAAAGATGTAAATTTAGCTTCATTTGTGACACCTCCACAAACATGCTTGTACAAACTACAAAGCATTGTTTTTTGTTTCTCATCCCATGAGATTTTGTCATGTCAAACAGAGTAACAGATTACTTCAATCCTGTCAATTCTCACATATTAGTTCAATTGAAATAATCAATAGCTAATACTAAACAATCTATGACATTTCTTGAAAGACCGTAGACCGTAGTTAGAGTTGCCCTGTCGGTGCTTTTCAAATTTTCATTTTCAAATCTTAGAGTGAAAATACTAGGCCATTCAGCCGTTGCTAATATGCCCCCCACCGACGAAATCCAAATGATGCCATTTTGTATTGAATGTGCTACTTTCAGAATGCTAATTCAAATTTAATAAGATTGCTAAAATCTATTTGCAAAACAAATAAAGTTTGCTGAAATTTCTTGTCATCATGCCATTTTCTAAACCATCCCAAGCTATCACCTCTAGTGCTAATGTTATTTGTCTTTTTAATTCTACTCGAACAAGACCCAGTTTCTCTCCAAAACATAGAACAAGGCAAATTTCATGAATTAAAGTTTTATTGACGTGGGTGTGAATTGTGATTGCTTTGGAGAGGTGCTATTGTGCTAACTTGACACTCTTGACTTGCTCTTGAATTAATGGATTACTCAAAAAGTTGGATCTGTTTTTGGAGAAATATGAGAAGTAATAAAGAGAAAATTAGTGTATTAGGTTAATGAATGATCCCCAATTACGCGAGTCCCATAAAAATTGGCTAAGCTAATAGAGATGTATTAGGCCCACTAATGGTTCGTGAATGTATATTGGATGCAGTCCTAGTCCAATAATCATATACTGAGGAAGTGAGGCTCCAAAGATATCCATCAATTATATATTTGTAATTGTATAATTATAATTATGAATTACTGTATATTACTCCCTCTGTCGTGCTAATATTGTCTCATTTCACCTTTGTTAAAATAGGACAATATTGTTTCATACCAAATTTGGTAAAATTTGTGACTCGTAATCATTCTTATTTTATTCTTACCTTATCAATTAATATCAATCACATAAACTCACTTTTCTTATAATTGTGTCACACTGTCACCTCCTCATGTCCCAATATTAGGACAAAGGTATTAAAATATACGGAGTAATACATTAAATACTACCTCCGTCCCACTAAGATTGAGACAAGAGAAGGTGGCACAATTATTAAGAAAAGTGGGTTTCTGTGCTTGATATTAAATTGATAAAGTAAGAATACAGTAAGAATAGTATGAGACAATCTTAGTGGGACTTCCCGAAAAGGTAAAATGGGATAATCTTAGCGGAACGAAGGGAGTAGTAATGTTATGCATTATTAGTAACAACGTTGTACTATATGAGTAACTTTTTTTTGTCTATAAAATGATAATAGTTCAAATTTGTTAGACGACTTCCGTTGAAACTTATGTTACAGTTAGACATGGATTCGGGCCGGGTGGCCCGACCCGGAACCGGATTGGCCCGACATTGTTTGGGCCCAGCCTGAACCGGTGGCCCGGCCAGAGACCGACCTGGTGGCCCGGTTCGGGCTCGCTGCAATTTGAGGTCAGAATTTACCGCGCTCAAATGTCTCCCTCCACTGCATTCTACTGCCGTTGTTCCTCCCTTCACTCTACTTAACCAGTGCCTTCACTTCACTCGAAGAATCCGGTGAACTCTCCAGCAAAGGCGGCCGCAGTCCACAGAGATGGCCGTCGCAGATCCCGACGGTGGCCAATGCAGTCCACGGCTACCCGGACCAGTCTCTGGCCGGGCCGGTTCCCAACAGTGCCGGGCCGGACCACGGGCCGGTTGGCCCGGAACCGGTCCACCACTAATTCCATATGCTTTGACTTCGTAGTAAATTTTGCATATCTTGGAAGGGAAGAAATTTTGCATAGCGGATCATCTCAACCTATTTTGAATGGATACGGGTACATGGGTATATAAACTATTGACTGGGTACCAAAAAGTTGTAGACCTTTTAAATAAGTTTTATATCTTGTGCACAAAAATGTATGTTGGAAAAAATGCAATTTTAGAGATGATAAAAGTATAGCACAGAAAAAAGTGTACAATTTGACTATTTGAGGCATTTATTTTCTATCACGGATAACTATTTCTGTGTACAAAGTGCAAACAATATGTCAGTGTACAAATATTGTTTTTCATGCAGCTAGAGTTCTAGACATTGACATTTCCGTAAAAAGCAAATCTGAGTGTGCAACTGTGCAAGTAATGGAATTAGCAAAATTTAATAACAATAATCATTCAGTCACATGGAATTCTCTTATCATTGCGGACAATTCAGCCCCCAAGTCCCCAACATAGGTTGCGATACAATATTTAATAAACTGAAGAATTGTGACCTTATTGATTCGAGTCTGCATTTATCAAGCAAAATCGCAATATAATCATTTTTCTATATTTTTTATCTTTTAAAATCAAAATTTCAAATTGATCTCAGAGACTCAGACTCTCAGAGGAAGCTTAGGGCTCATTTGACAAGGCTGAAAAGTAATGAAATTATACAATAGTCCAGTAGTGAGTGACTGAGTGGGGGAGAAGAGATGATAAAGTACAGCTCATCCTGTTTCTGAAAACTTAAGTACGAAGGACCAAGAGTTTTGGAAACTTTTAAATGAAATGGCTGGCAATGGGAAAACAGCCAAGACTAGATTTCCCAATCCCACACAATACACACTTTGCATCTCAAAGATTACACAAAACAAATAAACATTTGATCTCTGAGAACTTCACAAAAGAATATATCTGACGAAATAGGTATTTAACTCATTTTTGGAAGCTACCGAATTGGGCTGAGAAGAAATTGTCTCCTGAAGAAAACCCAGATTTGCCAATGCCGGTTCCTTGACCCATGTAAAATGTAGGCAGAGCAAGTTCCTTTTCTTTCTCAGATCCACCGGTCAATCCTCCAACACAGCCAGAATCTGCTAGATTGCCCTTTTTGGCTGCAAATATGAAAATTTTTTGGGTATGAAATAATTATTTTTTCTTTTAAATATGAAAGCTTAAATGGGGGTTTCTTAGTATTTAAATAATAGATATAAAGAATAGAGTAAAATAAATAAACAGAGTTTGAATGAATATGTAAAATAGATGTATTGAGTACGAGTATATCCTTATTTTCCCTCAAATTTCTTTCCTTTTCATTCTCCATATTTTCCCCTAGTAATTTCTGGGTCTCATACAGACCATAAAGTCAGCAAAGGAAATACATTTTCTACTACTCACAATCAAACATAAAAACAAATTCCAGTTACAATGAAATATGCATCTGCATCCAGTAGCTAAACTTACGTGCACTTATGTTAAGATCAATCAGTCCACGGCTAAGGGAATCCGCCCATATTCCAGACTTGACCTGAAAAGCATCCTTCTTGCTTGGGCACTTAGAATCTACCAAAGATGCGCTCAAATTTCCAGAACTTTCACCAGACGTTGCAGAGGCAGGATCTGTCTGGGAAACAAATGAATCAAAAGGGTTGGAACTACTGAAAGCATTTACTGGAACATTGGCGAATGGATCAAGTATACTACTATTAGTATTAATGGGCTCCTGTTTAGAAGATGTATCTGACTGCACAGCTGGATCAGCCAAGCCGAAAAAATCAAATGTTGAGGGAGGAGTGGGCGTTGCTGAAGTAAAAGGCGTGGTTTGCCAGAACAGATCAATACCCCCCTGAAAATGGTACATGTTAAACATCCACATAATAATTATAATTAGACAGAGGAGATTGATCGGGTATAGGATTATTGTGGAATGTAATATTAAAAAAATATGAAAATATAGTAAAGAAGTGTTTGGTCATGGAGTGCAAGATTATCTATGATTATAGGATTACCTTCTAGAATGCAGTGTAAGATTACATTTACATAGGATTACCTCAAGTTGTTTGGCTAACAGAATGTGATATTTAATTCAATTACTGCGGATAAAATCAGAGTTATGAAAGCCACCCACCATTCCTTCTCATTTTCCTAGGAGGACGTAATCTCAGAATTGGGCATATAATTTGAAAACTCTAACCAAGGTAATCAATCTCACACGTTCAAGGTGGGAAGACCCAAATCAAACACTCCCTAAGGCAATTTGATTGGTTAGGGTATAATGTTAGATAACCATGGATTATGGCCTCTTTATTTGTTCACATCAATCAGATTACCTTTGTAACATTACTGCCATGCTATGTAGCACCGATACCAGTACGCGGAAAAACGGAAACGAGTTCGGGGATACGTCAAAACAAAAAAAAGTAGGATACGGGGCCATATTTATAAATATTAAAAGTTATGGGGGTGTATTTACAATTATTAAAAGTTATAAGGGTCTATTTATAAATATTAAAAATAGATTTTTTGAATATATATATATATATATATATATATATATACACACACATATAATGAGTAACGATCCTGTCCAGCCGGAGGGACAGGACCCGCCGTCCGGCCGTCACCATTTGGAGCCCTTCCCGGTGGAATTTTTTGCTGAATTTTTTTGAGCATGTTCTTCATGAAGTCTAGTTTATCCATACCAAATTTCAGCTAAATATTCAATCAGGAAGGCAGTCAAATGATTTTTAGAAGTTAACTACGCACTTTATATACATATAAAACGCAGTCATCTTCCAAAAATCATTTGAATGCCTTCCCGGTTGAATTTTTAGCTGAAATTTGGTATGGATAAACTAGACTTCATGAAGAATATGCTCAAAAAAATTCATCAAAAAATTCCACCGGGAAGAGCCCCTGATGGCCTTGGCCAGACGGAGCTTCCTGTCCATCCGGATGGACATGATCTTTTTCCTACATATAATATCCTATGATGTCTCCCCATTCATTGCATTGAAGCATTTTCTTTTTTCAAAATACTTAGTAATAAATTCATAATATTTCTCATATACACTAGTGCATCTCGAAATATAAATGTAGTCAATAAGTCATTAATTTAAAATGAGAAATAAGTCAAACAACAATGACTTAATTCGGATATAGCCATATAGGCCCATTATTTGATTACCAAGTAAAATGTAGTTTTAGATTTTCATTTTTTTTAGAATTTTATTAAGTAAATTTTGGGATTTTTTTTTTAAAGTTGATACAGGTATCCGTCACAGGATACGAGTATCAGAAACTTTAAAAAAATTACAAAAAAAAAATGGAAACTTTTAAAAATTGCAGATACGGCCCGGGAACGTACGGTACGGGTATCCTAGAGTATCGGATACGGGAACGTATCAGATACGCCGATACGCTACCCTAGGGAAGTATCCGTGCTTCATAGCTGCCATGTATTATAAGTAGAAGAAGCAGAATGATGATATTACAACCATTTCCTTGTGTAATGTAAGATTGTCTTAGACTACTTAACTATTTTAGACTACCTCGAATTTGTCCCTAACAATTTGATAACACACAATGTCAGATTGCTTAATCCAAACAACTTGAGGTAATATCATATTCTTGCAGTCTTATACATTAAGTGAACCAATGGATGGTAAGCTATTTGAGTCGCGTAGCGTGATACTGCTTATACATCTTACAAAAGTTACAATACCTAAGAAAATGAAGGTAATCGCATTCTCCATTCTTTTACTTCAAAAATACCACTTGACTGTAATACTAATAAGGTCCTGTTGTATTACAGTATTACACTACCTGCCTTACCTAGGTCATTTCACCTTACAACAAACCAAACCCGAAAAAGACATCTTGGTGATGGAATCTCACCTGAGATTTAGAGCTTCCTATTGCTTCAGGTTGGGAAAACAGATCAATGCCTGCCTGCAAATTTGTCAGATGAATACCCTCAAACTAGTGAAAGCCACAAAGTCATAATGATTTACAAGGAAAGCACACAGTTTGACATGATACTCACCTGAGGAGCCTGAAAATTACCCCCTGTCTCGGGCAGAGCAGTTACAAAATCTGCTTCAGCAAATAAATCAACTTCTGTGGGTTCATTCTTTATGGCAGGCTTATCTGATGAAGAAGTTGGGGTTTCCAAGAGGTCACCACCCAAACTTTGCCCAAAAAGATCTACTTGGCTAGTACTTCCCTCTGCTGTAGGCTCTGTCAAACAAAATTAACAACCAATCCAAATTTGAACCAGTAAGTGATAGGGTGCTGACATATCAGAGGCATAAGAAAAGAGGAGCAGTTGTTGACTGAGTCTTCAATTAATTACAATTGGTGAAATTCGACCAATAATCCGTACTTTTTGTGGTTCTACAACAATAATCCCTACTAAACAAGTTAATATATACTCCCTCTGTCCCGCAAAGAAGTTCTCGGTTTGACCTACACACATATTAAGGAAATAAACTTACCAGGGGGTAAATTTTACTGTTTTGACACTGTTTCGACACTGTTTTGCACTGTTTTGATGTAGATAACTTTCCATTTAAAGAAAGGGGAACTTCTTTTTGGGACTGCTAAAAAAGGAAAGCGGGAACTTTTTTGCAGGACAGAGGGAGTATAATCTATACTCACAAACACTTACATATGAATAGATAAAATGAAACGGAGGTAATATTCTGTTTGATATTAACATCATCCCATCCACCCTCACATATCATTTCTCTTCTTCTTCTACATATGCCCCATCTCCTTCATTGGAGTCCACAGCCCCCTTATTTTTTCTTTTTTTCCATATAAATTTCTCTTCACTCCCTATCCTAATAATGGTGCAGCATATGGATTTGATTACCTGTTTGTGAATACTAAAGTACTAAACTGTATGATTGAAAAATTAATTCATTAGAATCCCTAATTTTAGAGGTAAAGAATTCTTAAATTTAGAAGAGCAAAATTACTTTAGTTCAATTGTTCAAATACCAAAAAGTATAACATCAGTTTCGAAATGTAAAATGGAATTTCTATATATATAGTGCTGCACGCATCCTCGTGAGATTAGTGGAGTGCAAAGCTCAATCAATTAGAATACTAAATCAAAATTAAGTGTTGGTTTAAGACAGAATGATCGGTTAAAAGAGGGGAAAATGAGTTACGCAGTGGTGGGGAATGAGGATATGTAGAAGAAGAATGAAAAGTTAAGCAGGGGTGGATGGTGAATCCTGAGGAGCGAACGTGAAACAGACGGCCGTTACCTCTGTTTCATTTAAACTAATTATGTGAATGCATATACAAGTATGGATTATTTGTATCAATTGTTTCAGTAGAGAATATTATTGTAGAACCGCTAAATGTACAGATTATTAGTATGAATTTCGCCTTTATTATTTAATGTTTATTTGTTTAACTGAGTTAGTTAGAGAAATAAGTGGGTTTTGGTGTCATACATCAGTCCACTAGGGTAGTTATGAGATCATGGATGGAATCAGTTATGCGTCACTTGTGTTGAGTCAGTAATGGGTCAGTTTTATTTCTCTCTACAAATAGCCTATCCTTATTCAAGCTGGGCGTGAAAGAATCAATATTATTTTAGACTTGGAGATTCTCCAGTGGCTTCTACAATCACTCATAAGTGATCAATTTTTTTCCTTTAATTTCTGAACATACCATTTTGGTATCAGAGCTGCATTTGTTCAACCATGGTCACCACACGCCCATTTTTAAAAACATTCTATTAATCAAGATACAGGCTTAGTCCTCCCAAGCTTTCTCCTTCAAACCCACAAATCCAAACAGATCCTAGGTTCGATTGGGTGAAGGGGTTCAGAGAGGACGGCTTTGGAGGGATCAGCCACTATCTGGATGTACATTTGATATTTTGTACTCCCTCCGTCCCTTAAAACTTGGCCAAGTTTGACCGGCACGAGGATTAATAAAGTAGAAACTATGTGGTTGAAATTTGTGCAGGGGAGAATTAACTGGAACCACAAATTCTTTACTTAAAAAGAAAAGTGGAAAAGTTAGCGGGACAATCAAAAAAAGAAAGTTGGCAAAGTTTTAAGGGACGGAGGGAGTACAAAAATTAAAGATGATATGCATCATATAACATGTCAATCACCATTTACCTGTTCTTAAAAATAATATACTCCCTCCGTCCTATAAATAACTTTCCTCGTTCCTTTTTTGAATGTCCCTAAATAAAGTCTACTTTCCTTATATGTAAACACATTTCTATCAATCTACTCTACTACTCTTAAGTTTTAATGACTGTACAGTGACAAAAAGTGTTAAATAGTGCCAAACCGTATACTATGTAGTAAAATTTACCTTCATTAATAAGGGCATTTCAGGAAGTCAAAGGAAAAAAGCTTATTTCCTTAAAATGTGTGCTATTCAAAGTGAGAAGTTTAAATAGGGATGGGGTTTTTTTTTATCAAGATATAGACCAAGTTATCCAAAGCCTTCCCCTCCAAAACTCTCAATCAAATAGATCCTGAAGGTCCTGAGGGTCGAGATTGCTTGTTTCAAATGACAGAAAGAAAAGTATAAGTGTTTGAGTATGTGGTATTAACCAAACTATTTCCAGTCACATGATAATGTCTGTGTTTCAATAACTTTTTCTTCCTGCATATTGTACATAATATGATATAATCTAATTGTACATGACAAGGTTAAAGTATCTTAGCACGCACGATACATAAATATAATTAATTAAAATAGCACGTAATGCTCACAAGGACACTTACTAGCGCTTGAAGTCCCCCGGGGATCAAAATCATCAAAATCATCCTCATAATTGCTACTTGGTGTACTTGATTTAAGTGAGGGTTTTGAAGCATTTTTATTAGAGTAGGCTGTCTTGTTTGTCTTTGATGTAGTAGCGGAAACTCTATTTATTTATGAGAAAATATTAGTGAAAAAAGGAGCAAGGAGAACCAATCAAGAAAAAAATCCTGTCAAATATTTGCACCGGATGATCATTTCAATCTATGAATTACATCTTTAATTTTTAATAGAAATTTAGTGTTACTTATTGTAGACAAATAATTCACACTGTAAATTTCATGCCACTGAACTCAATATAGTTGTGATTAAGATGCTTATGATTTATGAAAATTCAAAAATTATATCTATGTGTGACAGACTAATATTATGTACAACAGTCCAAATAGAATCTGCTTTTCAGCAATCATGCTAGAAGTAACCCTAGAATCAAAATACTACTTCGTATAAGAAAAGCAAGTATAGCAGCTTGGCCAAGAACTTTTCCAAAAATAGATAACACAATGATATATATCATGTGCCCAATATATACTCCCCCTCTCCCAAAATAATTGGCATTTTAGGAAAAAGCACACATATTAAGGAATCTTAGGAAATGGCTCTGCTACACAAGAAACCCTACATGTGTTAGTCAAAATATGCATTTTATTTCATAAAAATGTCACTTATTATGGGGCACTTTTTATACCTAAAACGATATGTAATTGAGACGGGAGAAGTAATGATTTTAGCTGTAGTAAAAAATGACTGTAAATGAGGATAAAGTGATCAAGCAAAGATGAACACATTCAAGGATTGAGATGATGCAGATACAGAGCGAGTTGTTAGGAAATACTGAGACATGTATGCTAACCTTATATGAGAAGTCTTATTATTTGAACTCTCCTCTTTACCAGAAATCTCTCTTCTAGATTTATAATTGGCATTCTTATCAAGCTTATCATCACCATATCGACCGCTCTCAATGTGAGCGGAAGAGTCACTATCAATATTACTGCCAAAACCTCCATATCGACTGCCACTACTTATAGCAGCCGATCCTGACTTGTATGTTATTCCAGTAGATGATAGTCCAATATACCTAGAAAATGATTGTAAAGTTCAATAAAATGGATCTGTGAAAAAAAACCTTGGATATCCTCATCAAATCATATCACAACTACTGACCATGCACTTACTTTTCACGATTTGCAGAAGCCTTATTCCTAATGTCCTGTATCTTGTCCTTGTCGTTTAATATTGACACAATGTTTTCAGCCTTCTTTCTGACGTTGATTCCCATATCCTTCCCGTTTGGTTCAACATACTCAAACTTTGTAAGAGACTAAAGGAAATAAATGAACAAAATGAAAGGTCCAGTGTTCAAGAGTTTAAAACAAAACATTTAGTAATATCAAGAATCAGGAAGTTGGTTTGAGTTTGGATGTGCATGTTAAAAGACAAAATGAGACTTCATAGAGTTTAGGTTAAATGTTTAAAGGGTCCTCAAGTTAGGGAGGATTATTAAATAAGATAAAATTTTAGTAAAATAACCTGATCAATTAAAGAGTTAAAGCTCAAGAGAGGAAAATATTATGTCTTCAGGTATAACAAAGCATTGTACATCATGTTTAATCATATAAAAAATTAAACATAATAAATAAGTGCAAGAAGTGTTTTGTCAAACTAAATTACAAACCGAAATATGATAAGTGTGTTCTACAATCTCATCTACTGCACGTTCCGATCCATGTGCCACCAAATACTCTAGAACAACCAGTGCCTGGTACAAATATATTTAATATTTCAGAACTACTATTCCAAGAGAAGCAAAATGTGGAGGAAACGTTTTATGGGAAAATTGTATGATTGTATCGTTGAATGATTTCAATTATTCTGTACCTTGTAGACATAACGCCAGTTCTTTTCAGTTTCTGTCAATCTTGTCCATAGAACATTCATAACAATTGAACATTCAGAACTGCACAATACCTCAACATGCCAACCGTGTAAAGGATAATTTGATAAGCATGCCTAAAAGAATGGAGAAGGGAGGAAGAAAAGCATGATGACTTTAAATGCAATAGAGAAAAATATGGCCAATGCATACAATTTTTTAGTGGCTTGTGCTATCTCAGCCATTGCAGTACCATGAGGGCCCCAAGGTTCATCGTCTGTTGCATCCAATACCTTATAAACCATTGTAAGAACTTTTCATTTGATCCATAATCAATGAAACAATCAGGTTAAAAGACGGTTTTTAGGGAATAGAAGTAAGATGGCCCTTAGAAAAAAATCTAATGAACCATTTAACGAGAAGATCATTGATTTGTTATAAGAAATGAAAAAACATCAGGTTCCTCATTTCTGAGTGAGGTCTTCACATGGCTACAGGAAAACATAAAATGAAGAAAAATCGAAGAGAAAGTGAAACTATATTATTCATAGAACCAGCAAATTAAGAAAAAATCCTAAATGAAAAGAATTGTACAGAAGCCTGTACACAGTCACAAACTAAGCATATTTACTTAAGCAAGTGGAGTAGTATTGATCTCATTGTCTTTGAGGTAAGAATTGAGATGTCACATAATAATTCTGTTATTTTGTCAGATTATAAAGAATTGGCAATTGAATCCACAATCTCCCTATATCTTGAGAGAATAAAGGAAAAGGTAGAAGTACAAATTAGTATGTTTATATTATCCAGAATTTCGGCATTATGAAACAGACACAACTGTTCGTTAACACAATTGTTCTTAGTCTTAAATGCCTTGGACTTTTGTTACGCCTACAGCCTACTTGCTTCAAACAATAAGTTTATGTCGAACAGTCTAAGCAGCAAGCTTCTGCTAACGATTCCTAACCTCAGTTGCACAAAAAAAACGCCAGAAAACAATGTACAATACTACCGATCTAAAAACCACGTAACCTAGGAATTGGCGTCTGGGTCTAACTAATTCTATATACCTTCTGTTCGATTTCAGGAACCTTCAATACTTTCAAATTCACCTCCCTCTTTCTGCAAATAAATAAGAATTAACTTTAAAAGAGTTCAAATACAAACCGAAAGCAAATTCATGCTCTAAAGAATTGCAAAAAATGAAATGAACTTGTGAACACATGTGGTACGAGGAAATGCCAGAGTTCACTTACATTTCGCGTACGGTTTGATCGATTACTTTCATGAAATCCATGTCTGGATCTAACCCTTCAAACAAATAAAAGAAAAACAAACATAAAAAACAAAAAAAAATGGGAAAAGAAAGTTTTGAGATTTATGGATATGGATATTTAAAAAATCCACTTACCAAGGGAGACGAGGGTGCAACTTCAATTAGCAAGATAAACAAACGATATGAAGCGGGAATAGAACAGATCTAAGAGAGATGCCGTATCAATTTGATCATTGTTATGACGGCTCGTGATCAATTTGATCATTGTTGAACGTCATCGTGCTTCTGGTCTGGTTTATTTGAAAAGAGGGGATTGCTCAACAAACCCCACCCTATAAATTAATTATTGAATGGAACTTATTTAGACAAAATTACCCTTTTTAATTATTTTTACTAAATTAATTAAGAGGTTTTCCCCTGAATATTACTATAATAAAACTAATTCCCAAAAATGTGACCACATTTACATTTGGACAAAAAATTATTAAGATGATTATATTTTTGAAAAAATTAAAGTGACTGTCAAATATTCATGTCACTATCGGATATCACGGTGACCATGACCCGTCTCACTGACGTCGCCGGCCATAGTGACACTGCCGCTGGAAGGAGACTGTCAATGGTCACAATGACACCAGTCACGCTGATACAGTCGGTCAATGGCATATGTCATAGTTTTCAACCAAATCTGCCTGTCGCTGGCACCACCATCCCGCCGCCGACCATAACCGCGGACCGCGTCGCTGACCATCACCGCGTACCGCCGCCGCCGACCACCGTCCCTCCCCAGCCCCCTCCCTAACCCCCAGCCACCTACCCATCCCTAAGACCCAGCACCCTAGCTCCCGCCCCGCCCGACCCCTGTCCAACCCCTGCCCCGCCCGCCCCCTGACCTTCCCCCCCAGCCAACCTCCCAGCTCCTACTCTGACCAGTCCAATCCCGCCCCCAATCCACACCTCTACATCCTATCTGTCGTCACCATTCCGGATCTAGATCTAGAAATCGCCCCTTCCAACCATCGATTAGGTCAACGCCCTTTCGATCAACTTTGTTCGTATCAGATAGTCAACGGTGTGCCAGATTTGACGGTCGTCATCACCATCATACTCAGCCACAGAAAGGTGAAGAAGAAGACAACAAACCTGGAGGAGATGGTGGAGACAGCGGCGGCGACGGCGTGGCTTCAATGCGACGAATACAGGGAGACATCGACGTTGTACATTTGATGGCAGGAGTTCGGCAATGCGAGAGGACCACGAGTGAGTGAGTGACGACGTCGGCAAGACAACCAACAAGCTGCAATGAAGATGCGGAGGAGGGATGAAGATGCAAAGCTATGAAGATACGAAGGGATGAAATGCGAAGGACAAATGAAGACCAAAGAGTCGTATCTGCGGAGGTTAGTTTTTTGGGAAAAACAAGTGGTGATATTTTCGGAATTAGAAACATAGGGAGTAGTATTGGTGCCATTCTTTCATTAATTAACTATTATCTCACCCATGCGATGCACGGTCGAAATGATACATCAGAAAATGTTCAAATGAAAAATTATCCATAAAAAAATTTACAATTATCAATTCACGGACAACAAAGAATCATATTATTTAACATAAGATAACATGAATAAATCTAAACATTTTGAAGCACTTCCTTATAAATAACATTTATTGTCTCACTTGAGTTTTGGTCGTTATCACCTATAATTAAAATTTTGAATCCTTTCTGGTTGGTAAGTCACAAAAACTATCAACAAGTGACAGACATTGTTCTTGATGTACGATCATAAAATTTTAACTCCATTTTTTAAGATATAAGTAATAACTTAAAAATTCAAATATGTCACTTTCAGTTGAATATGTGATATGAATATTAATCCATTTCAAAGTTGAATAATATAAAATGTTTTATAGATATCTTTAATCTGTATATGAAATGTTCGAAATGTTATAGGAACTAAAAAATGACAACCCTTTATTACTCATGTTATTATAAATACTACGTATTCTTTATGTCTGGTACACTATTTTTTCTTGTGTCATAGAAGTTTTTTTTTTGCATCTATAACTATTTTTCACAAATTCATACATTTGTACACATGACCAATTCCAATCTATTGCTGCATTAAATCCAACATACTACTTATCAATAAGAAAACAACCCAATCAAACCTAGGAGTAAATTATTTTTGCAATTCCAATCTACTGCTCCATGTTCTAGCCATTTTTAGATTTCAATTGGTCTACTTACGAAAAGAAATATGGGATTTATTGATGGTTCCTAGTCTGCTGCAATTTCAGCAAACAATTTACTGGAAGTTCGATGCTTTCATTGAATTTTATATATTATGTTAATTTATTATTTACATTAACACTTTATTTTATTGCACAGTCCTTTTTTTATAATGCATGGTGCAAATCCTTTTTGTCTTTATGCTTTAAAGTTATACTCCGTATTACATGTTAATTGTAGATGCCGGTAGTGATAAGTATTGATTATGTATAAATTGTAGAATTTTTATCATCATATTTTATTTTAAACATTTCCATTGGTGCATTAAAATACGTTTATTAGGATTATTAGTTTCTAAATGTCTTCGGTCTCACAATTATTAGGTTAATTTAGTTCTTTGCTAGAAACTCATCTCTAAAATGAGTTGTATTCAATTTTAATTTCAGAAAAGACAATTCTAATGACAAACTCATTTTTTTTTTTTTTTTTGAAATGCAAAACTTTATTAAAAAGAAAGATGTTACAAGGAAAAAAGGAGATAAAGAAATGCAGAAAGGAAATAAAAACTAACAAATAGCTAAAACCCAACCCAAAGAATAACAATAAATCCCTCCCTAAATCGCTTAGTCCCTCAATGACAAACTCATTTTTAGAATAATTTATTTTTATCAAAAGTCTTTTACCAAAACAACTCATTTGGGCTATATAGAAGCTATGACTGTAAAATCTATTGTACTACGTATGATTAAATAATTGTGATAGATTTGCAGCAAGTTCAAATAACTACAAATTGGTAGATATTTATGGGAACGTCTTAAATCCTTAAACTTTTTAATTACATGTTATGCCATTTTCTTATACTCCCCCCGTCCCAAATTGTTTTGCAAATTCAATTTTTTTTGTCAACCAATCATAAAGTTCAATTATCTCTATTGCTAATTTATTCGATTTTTAATCTTTAAAATTTACATATTTAGAAACTACACTAAAATCTCTATAAGATTACAAAATCGAAATTAAATTTAATTAAAAATTGATATCCTAATTAAGTGTTTGAAATGAGTCAGCTTGATCCAAAAAGTCAAAATTTGCAATTCAATTCGGGAAGAAGGGAGTATAAAAAGGTGATTTTGGGTGTACAGTGATTCTAGGTGTACATTTCTGGAAGAAACATTTCTCAAAGAGCCTATGTGTAGTTTCTTCTCACACACGTAACCATTTGGTCCATGCAGAAGTTTTAGTACCATATATATATATATATATATATATATATATATATATATATATATATTTTATTTTTATTTTTTGAAACAAGTTTTTATTGATTTAAAATAAGAGTACAATGCGAGAATGAAAGAAATAAAAAAAAGTATATATATGTTAAGGCCTTTATATATATACAGGCCTTAACCCTATATATATATATATATATATATATATATATATATATATATAAACACACACACACATCAACAAACTCGTTAGGAAAACAACGTAAAAGAAGATACTCCGTATATGTGAGAAATAATTTCAGGCCAAGAGATGGATATAATCCTCCAAACCCCTCCATCCAAACAGGCCTTAACAGACTTGGAACAATATTCATCAGCCAGACTTGCCTTATTATATATGTCGGCACTTAGCAACAGGGTGAGAACCTCCTGACTTTAGCTGTTTCGGTGAACCCCCCCCCCCCTCTACCGTTGTGATGGGCACTGACCAGTGACCACAACCCGATAGTACATCCAACAAACTGTTTAATAATGAGTACTACATAATATAATCACTTGTAAATAAAAATCTGATTCAACTTTTCCACATTAAGCAATACGTGAAAGACAAATATTCTTATATTGTTGAAGAGTTTATCCTGATATCCTACATCTGTTAAATTCTCTAAAATATCACTTATTACATTGACTCTTTAGGAAGGAAGTCCAACCTTAAATATGTTAAGGCAAGAAACCACGGAGGTCAAACATCCACCACAGTTCCCAGCCCATCGAGAAACCAAAACCTCTGTAACAGAACATATATATACTTACCAAAAATCGGTGCAAGATCTCCACTGTACTCTCCACCGGCAACTCAAAACTCCCATGTATTAAGTAAATCTCCTCTGAATATCCAATCTAAAATCGACGAGTTGATATCAACGGCGCCGGTGAATCCTATCCGGCGAAGAAACCGCATTATAAGTAAATACGAGTTATACGACATTCCTGAACGCAACATATCCGTTAAGAAGAAACATGTAAGGCTCTAACACAGCTCAATGGAGGCAAAGATGATACGTTAAACTAAAGTCCGGAAAAGTTCTTCGGCGGATTACTAAGATGACAATTAGTTAACATCTTGACATTGGTCTTAGTAATAACTATTTCTTCCTCTATGTTAATATTGGGGAGTGTAGACAATTAGTTAACATCTTGATATAATGATATTAACTATAGTAGGATTCATCTTCTTTAATATTCTTCCTTGAGTATTAATTAATTCCTATTCATATTTTATACGTAGTATTAATATTTTGAACATTACTTAAATGATCAACTAGTTTTGTTTCATATATTAATTATTACTAGAAACGATCAACGAACCGATGGTTAATCGTTGATAGTTTCACAAGTAGCAATGCCAAGCCCCTTTTATTCTTGAATTAAATCTCACATAAGTCGTTCATCTTCGTGTTTAAATTAATTAAATCACCCAATCAAAACCCCCTTTTATTTACTAGTTTCATAAAAAGAGAGTTATTCCTTTCCCTGTGGATACGAACTCTACTTCATCTATACTACGTATAAGTGTTAGTATCGAATTTATTTTGACGCACCATGACAAAGTGCACGTCAAATTTGGCGCCGTTACCGGGGAGAGGCAATTTATTTTTCTTTTTATTTTATTTTAAGAAAAAGAAAAAAAGATAATATTGTTCAAGTATAAAAATTTCTATTTCTTCTGAGCTTTGTAGTATATGGTTAAATATCGTTCACTGAACGAAATCACCTACAAATCAAACCCCGAAATAGAACAAACTCTCGAGCGATTGAAAAATAAATTCTCAAGCTCCGACTCGAGAGAA